AGTGTCGTTGACGCTGCGTAGACTGCGATCCGTTTATGTGAATTCACATGTCCGTTCGTACGACCGCTTAAATTACGACTTAGCCCACGCACGTTCGTGCGACGCCATATGCAGTCGTGGCCTGTGCTGTTCGTTCCTCGTCGAGACGTAGAATATCCAGCTGAATCCGGCTGAATCCGGCTCGAAGGACCATGTACGTTTTGTGGTCTGGATATGCCTGAGATCACTTACTTTCTCTTCACGTTTTATTGGTTTACTTTACATTTCTTAGTCTCTGTACGAACGTTGCACATACCCACACGACGTGACCATGGACTCTCTAGTTCGGCTCGGATCTTGTACCATACTTTCTTTACGACGCGCCATCTATCTTCCCTTCATAACTAAAATTCGCATAGCGCCTCTACCTACCTATCCTTGAACGATCGCGTTAGCCAATAGGGTACATTCGCAACAGGGTGAGATCCCACCTTCTCTGCCGAAATTAGAGAGATCGCTGAGCGATACGTATTTAGGGGAGAATAAGACCCGGTGGTCTCGAGATAAGTAGACAAGAATTCTAAAACTTGCAGGAATGGATGCACCAAAGGGATCTTCCTGTCTTTCTGTGCAAAACTGCCACCATAGTGTGCCAACAATAAGAGGCTTGGAGTATTGGGCTAGCGTAGCGTTTGAGAGCGATGCGAGCATTGCGAGCATTGCCTCAATCGCAGTGTCCGATGTTCCTTTCTTCAGAAACGCTTGGCGGACAATCTCGCGACCACCAGGTGAATCTTGGTCCATGCAGGGTGGATCGGGCTGAAAGGAGATGATAACATATTAATATCCGGTTTGAAGTCAATTGGTTGGTCTAAAACAAGTTGTCTGAATAGGGGAAACCATGGTTGTGCCGGCCACCACGGACCACCAATACCCCCTCCGCCCTGTCGGAGATGATTTTGCGTAGTACTCGTAGAATCAGGATGAAGGGCGGAAAGGCGTAAAAGTAATATTTTTCCAATCTAGGGAAAAGGCGTCAATCGTTTGTGCTAAACAGTCAGGGAACCACGAGACAAATCGAGCGCATTTCGTATTGATCGACGAGGCAAATAGATCAATATCGAAGGGACCGAAAGTGGAATTAATTCGGTGAAAATGATTTTGTGAAAGCGACCATTCCGTTTCCATGGAGACTACCCGTGATTGAAAGTCTGCTTCTATATTCTGAACCGAAGGGATATACGCCGCGTAAATAAATAGATCCCGGTCTGCGCACCAACACCAGATTTGACGGGCCAGAGCCGACAAATGGGGGAATGAAATTGAACCCATACGGTTAATATAGGAGAGAGCAGTCATATTATCGACGCGTAAAAGAACGTTGCATCCACTCAAGTGAGAAGCGAAACATCTCAAGGCATGGAAAATAGCTAATAGCTCGAAATAATTAATATGATGTTTCTTGTCTTCGGGGGACCAGAACCCACGTGTGCTGGCCTCCCCGCAGACTGCACCCCAACCTGTCAAGGAGGCGTCCGTAAATATTTCGAGTGCGAAACATCCTGAACTGATAATGTTATGCTGGGAAGCGTTTCTGAAAACGTCTGTTCACCATTTTAGGTCTTCACTAATTGAGGCTGGTATCAACATTTGAGCTTCAAAGTTGTCCTCCGCCGCCAAGAGAGCTAAGACCTTTTCTCTTTCCAAGCCCTTAGTATGGAGCATACCGTACTTAACGGCTGGACAAACTGAGATAACCGAGCCAATAAAGCTAGCAAAGTAGCGAATCTTACATGATCGCTTGTTTCGTATAGATAGAGTTAGCCGTAGCAGTTTGTCTCTTTTGTCTTGCGGGATTGAAATAGAAAAACTCCGAGTATCAAAAATAAATCCTAGAAAGCTACAAGATTGTGTTGGCAAGAATGCTTTTATGATGGTTAATCGCAAAACCTAGTGTAGTTAAGAGGCTGAGAGTTGCAGAAACGTTCCTCATGCATCGATGGTAAGATGGTGCGAGAAGGAGGAAATCATCTAAGTAGATTACTGACAGGAAACCCCTCTCGCGGAGGGTTTGAATCACTGGTTTTAGAATCCTCGTGAAGATGTACGGAGCTGAGGCAAGTCCGAATAGTAGAACAGTGAATTGGAAAAGGCGATCCTGAAAACGAAAACGTAAATATTTCCTGTCCTCAGGGTGAATTGGTATGAGCAAATATGCATCCTCCAAATCCACGGATGCGAGGAAATCCCCAGGAGAGAGGAGGTGAACCACCGTCTTCCAATCTTCGAGTTTGAAGTGAGGAGCGACAATAAATTCATTCAGACGCTTCAGATTTAGGATGAAACGCCATCCTCCCAAGGATTTCTCTATCAGAAAAAAAGGGGATAAGAATTGGTCTTCGCAATCAGTGACCAATTCAATTGCTCCCTTGTTGTAAAGCCGAATGATTTCTCGGTTGCAATTCTCCTGTTCTCTCTTGGACATGTGCCCCGAGGGTTCCGTGGTTTGACGGGGTGGGCTGCGGCACCAGGGGAGTCGATATCCTGAGATAGCTTGTAGAATCTCTGGATCTGAGGTTAGTTCTTTCCATTGAGGAAAGAAAGGTGCCAGCCTGCCAGCGCTAGTTACCTGTTCAGAAGTTATCGTCTCCTCGATCGAGATCGGGAGCGATACGGTGTCCGGCGACTGCTTGTCGATGCCCCTGCTCTCCTTGTTGCCGAGAATTGTGATGTCGCAGGGGCCCGGGCGTTTCCCGTCTTTGAAGTAGAGGGGGCAGCATGGAATGGCTGCTTAATAGGCTGCTGCACCTTCCGCGATACTGGTAGTGGGGTTTTAACGAAAGCCCTACTTGTTTTTTCCAGAGTAGATGCTTTCTTCAGCTCTTCTCCGAAGTCTGTACCGAAAAGAAAGTCATTTACTGGGAGGTTGTCTGCTGTGTTCTTAGGGATCAGATTTAGAGTGGGCATGATCTGTGCCCGCCGAGACAGTGAGGGACGATAGAATAGATCCGCCAGGATCTTTGCACCTTCGTTGATTTTCAGCACCGCTGAGCGTGCTTCCGGAACGAGAGATCGCTGCAGTTCCGGCTTAAGCAGCTCTGATATTGCCTCACCCAGCGCACACAGGACGATGCCCACCTGATTCTGGTCCTTGCTGTGATACTCGTCCCTCTTGATTACAGAATTGTTTTTAATCCTGATTTCAGTTCCGGATTTAACTTGGGGGCTGTGAGAAACCGTATAAGGTTTTCAGAAGGAGGATATTTTTGTAATAAAGAGTCCCGCTGCTCAGCGGGGAGGCCCTTGTGCGAAAGGTCGCGCCATTTGTCGGTGACTAAGTCATTCCAGGAAGGTACCTCCACCGGCACAAGCTCAGAAGCGAACAGCTCGCGGGTAAGCGAGTCATCCTCCGTCGGGGTAACCGTGGGCTGACTGTTATCTAACTGTACAAAGGTTACGTTACCTCCCCTGGGGGAACCTGTAAAACCGACGAGGTTATTCCGAATGAACGGGAGGCTGTGTCGATTTTTCCGCCTATATTTTCCAAATATAGATCCGGAAAGCACGGAGCACGTACACAACTATGTCGCTCTGGACTGGCCCTTCCTGTCTCGCAGGCGTTGCCAAAACCGTACCCGACAACGGCCGGACTGATTAGGGTCGATCTCCAGATCGGCTGTATCGCTTTCCGTCTCCGACTGCACTCCTGGAGAAGACTGGTGACTCGAATATGAGGGTATCCGCGTTCCAGCCGAAGTCCGCCGGAGCGCCTTAACCTCTCTCTGCTCGATCACGTCAATCAGACGCGATAATTTGTCCTCGAGGCTCGCTAGCCGATCTCGGGAATGTGGCCTCTTACGTTTCTTGGATTTTCCCATTTTCGTTAACTAGAGGTGAGAATATTGTACGAAAGCGAAGAAATAGTTCACGAGCCTGTTGTGGGAAGCAACAACAGGAACACAAATAAAGTGCCTTGCGCGCGCAAGGGCGGCGTTGATATAGGCGCTAAACGAGAGACATCTATATGTCTTTTTCAATTTTAAAGTATCCTGTTGGGAAACCGCAACGGAGCGCGACTACATTCTATCCATACGGACGAGACCTTGCATAATTGTGACGGCGAATCGGGACATTGTAAGAGAGCTTTCTGCAACCGGAAGCGATCGGAAGATCAGGCGTCAATCGAGCATATTGAGAGAGAGATTGGTTATAGTTGCACCGAAACGTCCCAGCGTGAGGCTGCGGTAGTGTTGTGAGTACTGAAAAAAACCCGGACATTTTCGGAAAAAAACCGGGTTTTTACCGTTTTTTTCCCAAGGCTGGGAAAAATAGGAAAAATATGGAAATTTTGAATTTTTACACTAATAATTTTGACAGGTTGGCCAACGCTTGTATGTAATTC